CCACCATAGCTCGAGCACCGAAGCCGCCGGCCTTTGACTCCTTTCCGAAAGACGGAGCTGGGAGAGAGGCACCTGTCAGGCGCTGTCATCTCCCGCCTCGGGTTCTTAAAAACCAAAGAAAAGCAGAAAAAACATTTTGGGGGCACTCACCTCTCTCTCTTCCGTCGTCAGCGATGTTCCCCTGCCTGCCCTCTTACTCGCTCTTTCCTCCTTTCATTTTTTTCTTTTTTTTTTTTTGCTTTTAACTAATCACTTGGTTAACGAGTCAGCTTTCTGACGCTGGGGTCGGTCCCTAGCGCCTCTCCGAGCGCGACAAAGAAATGAGCCGTCACCGATACAGAAGTCAGAAAGGTTTAAATCAAATCATCCTCCACAACAATGACATTAATTATGCTTTTAACACGTCGCCCTGCTTTTTTTCTCACTTCACGCCGCATCTGTGTGAACAATATCCCGAAGATTTACGGTTTTCTTTCGTAATTACAGACATACAGGCTGCTCACTTATCAAAATACTTGCTGAGCAATCATGCGATCTTGCCTTTTCTGCCAAAGATTTGTGTTGGCAGCAGTCATTCAAAACGAAAATGTTGAATCAGGACTTGTGTGGCTTGGCGGGGGTGTGGGGGGGTGATTTCGACAAATAATTTGCCTGTCAAGAAATACGACAACAGGAGAGCACGCATCCTGGCGAATTTTCCGGGAGTGTGATTTCCGCGAGGGGCTGGGGCGCGTGGGGGGCGCGGCGAGCAGGGGCGCTCCCGCACCAGAACCACTTCTGACATTTGGTTCCTGTGTCTGAGGATAAAATTTAATGAGAACGGAAATATGTCTTCCTAATTCCCCTAAGAAATCATTAAAACATTCTGTTATTCTTAAATGTCTTGGAAATGAGTTAGAGCCCCTCACGGGGCAGTTCACACGGTGCGTCTCCATCACTTAAGGCTCCTTGTCCTCCAGCTCGGTGACAGCTGGGGACGTCCGTCTCCCCTGCCACCCCCCATTTCTGGGGAGCAGAGATGGGAAATCAGATGCGTGAGGTCGGCACCAGGTCTGGAATGACCCTTTGGGGAGACGGGCAAGAGGGCACGAGGACCTTCCGGAAAGTTCCACGCAGGTCGTGGGAGCTCTCACTGTCCGTGGCTGGCACTGCGGTCCTGGCCCTGTGATTGTGTTCACAGGCCTCTTTCCGGAAAGATGAGGGTCCCAAGTGAACCCCAGAAATGACACCTCCTTCCACGCGGGCCGTAAGCCCCTCCTCCCCTCAGCGCTACACTGTCTGGCGCTCCCCTGGGCTTGAGACAACAGCTTATTCGAGCGACTATCTGGTCCCTCCATCAGGAGAGTGCCAGCTCCCGGAGGACGGGACCCCTGCCTGCGTCTGCGGGCTCACGGCTAGGTTCTCAGTGTCCAGTGAGTGTGGGCACACAGCAGGCACTTAATAAAGGCTGTCTGAGTAAATAAACCCGCGACAAGCAGAGGGCTCTAGCTGAAAAGTAGCTTTGTGTTCAAATTACCCTTCGTCCCTTTTCTGCATCCGAGTCTTACTTCTAATTCACTCAACAAACAATTATTAGGTGCCTACTGTGTACCAGGTTCTGGGTACAGAAGCTTTAGCATGACCCAGCCTCTGGCTTGGAGACCCTCACTTCCCCCGGGGAAGCCAGACACACAGGATGACGAGAGTTGCTCATCTCCTCCTTCAGAGGAGATGGACGCTCAGGGAGGGGAGCTAATCCCCCTGCGGTCACCAGGTGAGTGCGTGGGACACACAGGATTCGCGGGTCTGGCCCTGAGCCCGGGAAACCGAGCCCCCTCAGTGCTGCCCCCTGGTGCCACAGGCGGGTACTACAGGGTCTGGAGGAGGAGCAGGTGTGGGGACTCCTGGGCGGCGTCTTTGGGTCTGTTCTGGGTCACTCTCCAATGTCATTTGTTGCTGTGACCGTGAGACCCAAACTATTGAAACAAGGTGGCAAATAAGACGGTTTATTTTTCCAAATATTTTCCAGATACCTCTGATGACAGTGGAGACATTACAAGCAGAAAGGCTGAAGGAACGGGGCCTCTCGGCCACGTGCCTGGTGGTCCTCAGTGAGGGTGACAACGACCTGGGCTGTAGACACAGGCTGCCTCGGCCTTGTGCCTCAGGGTCACGTCCTCTCGGGAGCATGGAGCCCAAGGGCTGCGCTGCCCAGCTCCAGCCATTCCCACTGCCAGAGCGTTCTCACGCAGAAACCCACATGGCCGTGCAGGTGGGCATCCTGGAGCTGGGCCCGGGAGGGCGGGGCGGGTGTCAGACACCTCTGCAGCGGGCTGGGTGGTGGCCCCACACACACCCACATCCCAAGGCCTGGATCCTGGGATGGCGACCTTGTTTGGCAAAAGGGTCTTTGCAGATGTAACTAGTCAAGGATCTGGACGTGAGGTCATCCTGGATGACCTGGGTGGGCCCTCAAGCCAATGACTGCTGTCCTTACAGAGAAGGAGCTGGAGACCTGGGACACAGACGCAGAGCGAGAGGGCCGTGTGACGACAGAGGCAGAGACAGGATGACGTGGCCACAGGCCAAGGACCCCTGCAGCCCCAGAAGCTGGAGGAGGCAGGGCAGAGTCCTCCGCTGGGGCCTTCAGAGGCAGCGTGGCCCTGCCACACGTGGGTGTTGGGTCTCTGGCCTGCACAACTGCGGGAGAATAAATACCTGCTGTCTTAAGCAGCTCAGTTTGTGTGGTTTGTTCCAGCAGCCCAGGAAGCCAACGCAGCCTCCCGAGTGGAACCAAGTTGTGATGTGGAGCACACACTCTGGCAATATGTGCTGAACGTGCCGAGACCTGAGCCACATCTGTCCACATCTGTCCCTGGCTGTGAGAACTCGGGCGGCAGACTCGACCTCTCTGTGCCGTGGTGAAGGGGACCGGTTGGCCTGTTCCCTCGGGGCCTGTAAGATGCAGGGGATGGAACAAATCCAGCTTCTACACCAGGCCAGGGCTTCTCAAACCCTGGCGTGCTCTCAGGGCTCCTGAGGAGCTTGCTAAGGTGCAGACGCTGACTCGGCGGGCCTGGGGTGGGCCTGAGGTTCTGCATGGCTGACCGGCTCCCAGGCCAAGCCGGTGTGCAGGCCCACGGACCACACTCTGAGCAAGAGGCTGGACGGCGTCCCTCCCTGCCCAGCCCGTGTGCCTGACGGGAAGCCTCACGCCACCGTGGTGGTGCTGGTCTCCTGGGGCTGTCGTAACTGAGTGCCACCGACCGGGCGGCTTACAGCCACAGAGGTGTGTTCTCTCTCAGTTCTGGGGCCAGCAGGCTGAGATCCAGGTGCCGCAGGGCCGGGCTCCCCCAAAGGCTGAGGGCAGGGTCCTGCCTGCCTCCTCCAGCGCCTGGTGTCCCAGGCGTCCTGCGGCTTGTGGCCGCGCCCCTCCGTCCTCCACCTGTCTTCACACGGCCCTCCTCCCCGGGTCTCTCTGCGTCCTCTCCTCTCGTACGGACCCCTGTCATCAGATTTAGGGCCCACCCTAAACCCGGGATGACCTCATCTCGAGATCCTTAACTAAGACCCTTTTTCCAAATAACGTCACGTTCCCAGGTTCGGGTGGACGGGAATTTTGGGAGAACGTTATCCAACCCACCACAGTTGCCCGGGACAGACGGAAGGCGGGACTCTCCCACCCCAAATGCAAAGCTCCCACAAACGACCCTGACGTCCAATATAAACGACTGTGCCTTCTCCACGGCCCGGCTTAGACCTCATTTTCCTCTTCATAACCGCCCAGCCCTGGGCACCCCCGACGGCGTGCATGCCCGCGGCTGCATGGAAGGGTCTGGGAAAGGATTTGGGGCTGTCTGGGTGGAGGGCGTTAGCACAGCGGGGTCTCCTCCCGGCTCCACCTTTGTGAAGCAAATCACCACACCTTTCTGGGGCCCCTTTTCTGAGTCAGTAAATGAGAAGGTGGCAGAGCATGGGCCATTTTAAGGAAGGGAGAAATTTTATAGAAGTATATCGACATGTCTTGGGTACACGGTTGAATGCTCTCAAACTATCACCCTCTATAATCCACACCCCGCCAGGAAACAGCACCTCCAGCCACAGAGGCCCCTCCCAGGAGCGATCGCCCCTCCATGAGGACCACCCCCCGACTGCTAACCGCACAGGTTAATCAACGGGGGTGAGATTCCTACGACACAGAATTGACCATTTTAAAGTGAACAATTCAGCGGCAGTTAGTCTATTCACAATGTTGTACAAGCCCTGCTTCTATCTAGTTCTGGAACATTTCTATCCCCCAAAAAGAAACCCCACACCCTTTAGCAGTCACTCTCCATCCCCTCCCCCAACCCCTGGAAACCCCCAATCCGATTTCTATCTCTGCGGATTTGCCTGTTTCGGGCAGTTCCTATAAACGAAATCCTACATATGCGACCTTTGTGTTGGCTTCTCTCACTCAGCGTGTCTCCGAGGTCCGTCCACGTCGTGGCAGGTGTCAGTGCCGAGTCACATTCCACTGTGCGGATGGACCACATCTTACTCATCCCTCCATCCACTGATGGACATTTGGGTTGCTTCCCCTCTTTGGCCACTGACAATAGTGCTGACAGATACATTTTTGCCTGTCTTCATATTTTATGTCAATAGGACCACATAGTTTTGTTTTCTTTTGGGTTTGGCTTTAGCTGAACATCAAGTTTCTGAGTTAGCTGCACTATGGGGACACTTCTGAGGTCTTTCCTCCAGCGCCCTCTGCTGCCAATGGGATGGGGTTCTGGCGGGCGAGGCCCTGCCCGCAGGAAGGTCCAAGTGGGCCGTCTGGCCAGGAGCCCCCCAAAGCTCCCTGGCTGACGTCGGAAGGTGGTGGGGCAACCGTGTGGGGACGTGTTGCACCAGACTGGGTGTAGACACCCCCACCCAGGAGGGCCCGGCCCGTCTCCCAGTCCCACTGGGAGGAGGCCCCATGTAATGGCAGTTTCTCATCATTAATGAGTCAATCATGGATCCCAAGCGTTTCTTACCTGGTGCTTCAATTAACTGCTTGTAAACACTCAGGAAAGCGGCCTCGGCCTCCTGGCTTCTCTTGCTAAGAGCCACCACCTTTGGAGACAACAAGAGAAAGGGTCACGTGTAAACACGCATGAGTCTACAAGCAAATCTGACAGTTTTCTACGTGTGCAAATGTGGGAGAGCGGGGTAGAGGGTGAGGAGACAAAGGTTCAAAGGATGGAGTTAGAAGCCCGGGCTCAAACCTCAGCTCCACTGTGCCCGGCTGGGGAACCTCGGGCAAGTCACCGGCCCTCTCTGATCCTGTTTCCTCATCTGTAAAATGGGGGTAAATAGCAGAATCTACCTCCCGGGCCTGCTGTGGGGATCGAATGAGTTGCCTCTAAGCGCTGAGCCCCAGGCCTGGCACCAGCAGCTTATGAACAGCTGGTATCGTTACTCCTGTTACAACAGGGCCAGGCTGGAGCTTCAAACACCACGCAGGCTGTGGGGAGAGAGGGACACATCTGGCATCTGGCGGATATTTTTCCTTTTCTTTAACTAAGGTCACGGTGGTTTATAACATCATCATAATTTCAGGTGTGCATCATTTATTGTGACTTCTATACAGACTGCATCGTGTTCATCACCAAAAGTCTAGCTTCCATCCCCACATACACATGTGCCCCTTCACCCCTTCTGCCCACCACCCGCCCCTTCCCCTCTGGTAACCATGAGTCTGTTCTCTGTGTCTGTGTGTTTATCTTCCATGTAGGACTGACAGCACCTGGTGTTTGACTTTCTCCCTCTGACTTATTGCACTTAGCATAATACCCTCAAGCTCCATCCATGTTGTCACAAATAGCCGGATTTCATCTTTTTTATGGGTGAGTAGTATTCCGTTGTGTATCTATACCACATCTTCTTTATCCATTTGTTCCTTGATGGGCACCTAGGTTGCTTCCAAGTCTTGGCTATTGTGAATGATGCTGCAATGAACGTAGGGGTGCGTGTGTCTTTACACATTCGTGTGGATAAATATCCAGCAGTGGAATAGCTGGATTGTATGGTATTTCTATTTTTAATTTTTTGAGAAATCTCCATACTGTTTTCTATAGTGGCTGCACCAGTTTACATTTGGGGCATATTTCTCGCCACTGAAAATTAAGGAGAAATTGTTAAAGCTCTTGTAAGATATAAACAGCTCCAACAAATATCGAGGGTGACAGAGTTACGTGAAACAGCTCCTGGCATACCAAAGGCACTCAATGAATGCCTCTTGACTGACGAATACACAGATGACAGGAAGAGCTCTGTTCCCGTGCTGTCCTCTTGCTCGTGGATTTGTCGTTTTGCCAGTGAGACTCCATCAGACGCGCTCTGGCGAGCCCCGTCTGGGCTCAGCACCATCTCCTCCCTCTGCTCTTGGCTCCGAGTGCCGAGCTCTGGCCCCACAGGCCTTGATCCTGGCTCTTGGTGGCAGTCCCCTTGGCATAGCCCTGGGCCTCCCCGGCACACAGATGGCTGGAGTGAGCTCCTGGCACCCACAGGCCACCATCCCCACCTCCCCGAGGACACGCTGGGCTGGGAATCTCCCTTTGGACAGGATGAGCTTTACGCTCCCTGGCACTGACATACCTGTCCCCGGGGGGCCAACTTCCCAAATGACGAATCTGCTGCCAGTGTCTACTTGTCAATCATCCTCTTTCAGGGTTGAGCTTTTCTTACGACCCCCAATGATGGCAACTGAGGGGGTGTCTGTTAACAGATTCCTCCCCTCGGAATAAGCTCTGTGAGCGCGCTGTCTCACAGAAGGTGCTCACCATCATTCGTTGAATGAACAAATCCAAGTGGGTTCCACCAACTCTAGGTCCTGCCTGTGACACCAACCTGGAGAAATGGCAGGCACCAATTCTGAGACAGTCCGTTCACAGAGGCGGCCAACCGAGGCAGAGGCCCAGGAGCCAGGCCACCACTAGCTAGCTGTGTGTCCTTGGGTAGGTAGGTCTCTTCAATCCCCGTGCCTCTACTTTCCCATCTGTAAAATGGGGATAATAATATGCCAACCTCCCCCAAAGGGTTGTGGGAGGATCATGTGAGTTAAGACATGGAAAGCCCTTTGCAAAAACTCCTGGCACGTCTTAAGTCTCATAGACACGTCCCCTCTTGGTATGACCCACCCCTTCCTTCTTGCCCGTTACTGGACAGGCTCTGCCCGGAGCCGGGTGATAAACGGCAGCTCCGCTCACCTCTGGTGTCTCAGGAAGACCGGCTGAGAAAGGCTCCCACCTCCCCTCACAGCAGTGCACTCTGGGAAGAGGAATCTGGAAACCACAGCAGTTCCTTGAAGGTTTCCAACATGGCAGCCACAAGCCCCACGCGGCTACTGAGCCTTGGAACGTGGCGAGGACCAATCGGGATGTGGTGTGAGGGCGCCGAATCTCAAAGACTCGGCCCGAAGAAAAGAGCACACGAGAGCTCACCAGCGGTTTTTATACTGATGGCATGTTGAGGTGACAACGTTGGGTATATTCTGATCCAATAAAATCTAGTATTAAAATTCGTTTCACCTGCTTCTTTTTACCTTTTTAAAGGGAGATACCACAAAATGTAAAAGTTCTTCTGCGGATCACATTTATTCCTGTTGGACAGCACGGCTGGAAGGTTTTACAAGGTCCATACTCAACTCGTTATTTAAGAGCGATGGAGAGAAATGTACGGCGGACGTTGAGCAAGTGATTTTAAAAAGGTCAGTTACAAAGGCCGCTTCAGTTCTCGCTGTTACTCTGAGGACAGCGAGGTCTCTCACCTTCCACGGTGAAGGACAATCTTTCATTCACTCAGCAAACATTCCCTGAGCATCTGCTATGTGCCAAGCACCGTGGGCTGAGGACTCAGCTTGAAGGATGCAGACTCAGGCCCGTCGTCACGGGACTCACGGTCCAGCGGGGAGACTGACGCGAAAGCAGATCCCCAGATAATTCATTCATTACAAGTGCTAGATGCTTCAAGGGAAAAGTACGAGGGGCTCAAGCAGGTATAAGTCGGGGGAGGCTGACCCAGGGTGGTGGGTGGAACATCAGGAATTGTCTCCCTGAGAAGGGGAAGATGGTGGCGGACAGAAAGAACGTTCTAGAATCTAGGCAAAGGGAAAATCACCAGGTGCGGGCAGATTTTTATTCTTGCTGAGATGGACAGGGCACAGTTTCCTCCTCTGGGGACACGGCTACGCCCAAGAGGAGCCACAACCCGGGGGGTGGGGATGCAAACCTTGGGGTCTCAGAGTAATGGGAGAGGAAATTAACTCAGAGTTTGGGGGGCATCCCTGATGGGCTAATACTACCTAATAAACACAATACTCAGACTGACCACGTGCCGGCTGCTCTTACTGTTCATGACCATCCCTCTCCACGGACACGCCATCACAGAAGGCTGCTGCCGTCACGACGCCCATCGTACAGATGAGGTCAGGCAACTTGCCCGAGGTCACCCAGGAAGTAAATGGCAGACAGGATTCAACCAGGTCTGGGCTTCAAATTACTGTTCTGAATCTAGACTCTGGCCCGTTTCTCCCGGAGAGAAAAACCATCGCAGCCAGTGCGGACGTGGCTCAGACGCCAGCTAGGCTGTACCACGTCAGGGGCTGCTGACCTGGGGCCCAAGAAAAGCCAGAGCAACAACAGCAATCCGTCCCCCGGTCTCTAGAGGGAGATTACCAAGGACCAGCGGGCAGAGCGTGCGGTGCGCCATCTCACGACCGTCCACGCGGAGCACGTGTGGTGACTGGGGTTTGGGGAAGGCATCAGAATGTCCCCTCGACTTCTGAAGAGGAACTCTGGGCAGGGGTGGGGGCAAGTGCTGGAAGATTCCTTTCAGGTTTCCCCTCCTACAGCACCCTCTACTTTCTGTTCACACGCTTATCAGTTTGTCACGTGCATACTCCATCTGTGTGACTGTCGCCCTGTGACATCAGTCGCCCCCGGCAGAGCTGCGCTGTCCAGTGTGGTGGCCACTGAGCACTTGAAACATGACTATCCCAAATTCAGACGGGCTGTCAGTGTAAAATATAGGATTTCTAGGTCTTCAGGATGAAAAAGAATTATAAAATAGCTCAATAATTTTTCACATTGACCACATGTTGAAATGATAACATTGTGGACATATTGGGTTAAATAAAATATATTATTAAAATTAAATTGACCTGTTTCTTTTTACTTTTTAAAATGTAGCTACTAGAAAATTTTAAATCACCTATATGGCTTGCATTATATTTCTACTGGACAGTGCTGGTCTCGATCAGAGGGTGGCAAACGATGGCCCCTGGGCCAAATCTAGCCCTTCACCTGTTTGTGTGAATAAAGTTTTCTTGGCGCACAGCCAGGCCATTCTTCTATCTACTGTCTGTGTCTGCTTTCAGTTACAATGGCTGAGTTGCACAGCTGTGGCTGCAGAGTCGAAAATATTTACTCTCTGGCCCTTTTGAGAAAAAGTTTGCTGACCTCTGCTTACGAGGTTCATCTAACAGCTGGGCAATATTTTCAAAAGCAGAGACCAAAAACCGACCTGCAAAGGCCCTCGGTTTGAATGAGTTCAGATTTAGGACTTCCTGCGGCAAATGCGACTCCTGAAGACGGTAGCTGCCTGGGTGTCCTGCCTCGTCCAGTCTCGTTTTAGAGCGATGACCCTGTCTGTTTCTAGAAGGCCAGGTCTAATGGTGTTGGAGCCCGATGCAGTGCTGGGCCCAAGGTCCTTCAGCTTCTCTTGACTCCAGTGTGTCCATCCCTCGAGTGGGAAGACTACGCCCCATCTGCCAGAGAAATGAGCTAACACGGAGCAACGCGGCCCGTGGAGGTCGGCAACAAGCTTTGCAATACGGCAGGAAATCCTGCTCGCCACACGGGAGGCCTCTGCAAGGCCTGCAGCGCTAAGGCTCTCACCACGTGCCCAGAACAGGTGAGCTTGGCAGAAATGAAAGGCACGTGTTTCTGCCGCATGGCGGGGCCCGCATGACTGCGGGAGAAAAGTGTCCAGAATGACAGATTTGGCTTGTGACAGGCAGATCTTGGAAGGCCATCTGGGCAAGGGGGAGGGGGAGGAGGAGGAGGTGGAGGAGG